GAGTTTTATAATCCTTTCACTGTGTTTGGAATTACCTGTTAAAGCACATTAAGAAACCATCAAACAACGAAAAAGTACTATATACCGAAAAGAAACTAATCTATCCTAGAAAAATGGAAATAAATTTGTATTTTAAATATGTAAATTAACATTTATTTTGGATATTTTCCTAACCCATCTTTTCCACTTTCCTAAATCATCTTTTTAGATTTATTAATCTTGATTTTCATGGTGATGTATTTAAACGGTTTTTAAATTCGGAAAAAGTTGTGACCTCTAGAGAATCGGCAAGCTAAAAATGCGATTTTTCGAACAATCAGGGGCCATAATTCAGGAAGTTAAGTTCGGGTATCCGCGATTATCAAAAGGAAATGAAATGAAATGGGGTTTAACGTCCCACTGTTCTGCTCCTAACCTAGGCTAATGAAGACGGGCGTGCTATGAGGGAAAATTTGCCCGGGCAGCGGCACTATCGCCTACTCTTATATCGAATTCCAACTGCCAAGGGATCTTTTACGTGCACGCCATTGTGTACACGGGACCTCGGTTTTTCGTCCCATCCGGACGACTAGACAGCTGTCCTTGTCAGGCCCTCCATCCTGCATCACTGACAAGGGGAAACCACGCCGGAAAATCTGGATAAACTTTCTCGGCCAATGCAGGGATCGAACACCCGACCTCCAGGCTAGCGAGCCAGCGTCTTACCAACTTAGCCACGTGGTCCCTCTATCAAAAGGAACCAAGATCTAAGTGTGTAATGGCGATATATTCACACGTTTTTTTTTTTAAATCGATAATAATGGTGAGCGACCACAAGCTAAAAACACGATTTTTCGTACGATCAGGGGCCATAATTCAAGAAGTTATGTATGAAAATGGGAAGTACCAAGATATTTTGGTTATGAACATGCATTTCAAGTTTCATCGAAATCAGATGAAAATTGTGATCTCCAGGGGGTCCACAACCCTGGTACACAATATTTTGACACAATATATTTGCGAACGAGGGGCGGCTATTTTGTGCGTCAGTTTCAGTCCGATTTTTACGAAATTCGAACTCAACCATCCTTAGGGTGTAACGGTGATATATTCAAACGGTTTTTTAAATAGATAAAAATTGTGACCTCTATAGGGTTCCACAAGCTAAAAACGCGGTTTTTTTCGTAGAATCAGGGGCCATAATTCAGGAGTTTATGGTCCGGAACCGAGATCAGTGGGTTATAAACATACAAATTTAAGTTTAAACGAAATCAGATAAAAATTGCGACCTCTACAGTGTTCACAAGCTAAAAACGTGATTGTTCGTACAATCAGGGGCGATAATCCACGAGGTTACAGTCCGACACATGCCAATATCGCAAGGAACCGAGATCTTAGGGTGGTAAACCTATATTTCAGGTTTCATTGAAATCGGATAAAAAATTGTGGCCTGTAGAGTGTTCACATGAAATTGTGGACGTATAAAAACGGTGAAAGTATTGTTCGTCTCCAAACAGCAATGTTTACATTGTAGCCGTTTTGATAGCCTCGTTTGTCACGCAATTAGTTTTTCTGCAATTTTCTGCTATGCACTAGTTAATTGGAGCTCTGTTTAAAGAATTTTGAACAGAAATTTACTTTCACTACGGCAGTGTTGAGTGGGATTAGGTCTAATAAAACGAAACACTGTGTGTAGAATGCACAAACGTGTGGTATTGGTGTGTACATGAACTACGGCTACAACTAAAGCAACGGTACTACGCGGCATTGATGTGTACAGGAACTACGACTATAACTAAAGTATCAAGAACAAGTGATATTGCTGTGTACAGGAACTACGACCACAGCTAACGCTTCAGTAACACGTGGTATTGATGTGTATAGGAACTAAAGCAGCAGTAACACACAACTACATCAGAAGTAAGACGTGGCATTGTTGTGTACATGAACTTAAGGAGAAATCAGTGTTAATAATGATTTCGTCAAAGTACAAAAAACTTTAAAACACAAAACTGGATATCTTCCATTAATCAGTATTTGTGTGTAGTATTTTAAATACGTGTTAGGAATGATTTGTTTCAAAATAAAAAAAAAACAATTTAAGTACTCACCTTCAGATATACGAAATATTTATCAGGATTATGTTTACGTGAAACCATAATGGATTCTTTAACTTTTTGCTAACAACAAACTGAGGTCGTTCGTCATTTAGTAAATTATGTTGCCCTTCTTCCATTTGGCACACTTGTCTCCATTTTTTGTTTCATACCCTATGCTATAGCAAAACCCGATGGCGTGAGCCACCAAATGGTGATATTATTGAGCTACTCAGGAATATTAATGTTGCCCCGGATGCGGTGGGGGTAAAGGTAGTTTAATACCTTGTATTGAGGGTATGTACTGAAATATGCATTTAAGGCAGATAGGGCGCGGCCCACCATTGGTGACCATTGCCCTGCTCGGAAGCCCCCGTGGCCGACCTATGGTGTCATTTCACCTACTACTATGCGGGTTAATTCATAAAATTTACCTCCCAGAAGGAATCATATTGGCTTGGTGGGTCCCACGAAACAGTTTGATACACATTTTGTGCCTGTACTAATATTTGCATTTAAGGTAAATTGTGACCTTTGAACTATTCAGAAGTGGTTTAATCCCAACAATTGACTACTCAGAAGGATATATATTTTCATTGAGAATCCTAAGACACACATTGACACAATTTTGGCGGTAATGTTAATAATGCCCCGGGTTGTGTCCCCAAAGTCATATATCTACCAATTCCAGCATTCAAACCTTTTGTACTCGAGATTTTAATTAAGTCTTTGCTAGCTCATGGAATATTACTGTTTTGTTTAATAAATGTATTTTACCTTACATAAATAGTAAACAATGTTAGGTGACCGGAGAAACCAACATGATAGACAAGACAATATATTTAAGATAGTCCATGAGCTACAGGTTTGCCACGATAGTTATAGATTTTTATCCGAAAGCGAAACTTGGTTGGTCACCATTTCAATTCATTAAACAATGCAGATTCTATCGCGTTTACAGGATTTATGGCAAAGCCGTGTAAAACTCTATAGCGGAAGGTCTAGGAAAGCTGCCTATACCCCCCACAACGAAAGGTCGCAGAGCGCTGAAAATCGATCGGGCCCGCCCCTATAATGTTATGAACCAAATCAGGAACAACAGACTGTAGCAATACTACATCAAAAGTCTTACATTTAGGGGGCAAAACAAAACCAGCGGCTGTCAGGCAGGATACGCCCACATTTTGCAAGAGATGGATAGATAACAAGCTAAACAAAGGCGATTTTTCGTACAATCAAGGGCCATAATTCAGAAAGTTACGATCCGATATACGCGAATATCGACAGGAACCAAGATCTTTGGGTTATAAAGATATATTTCAAGTTTCATCAAAATCAGATGACAATTGTGACTTCTAGAGGGTCCACAACCTTAATATATTTACACTATTTGCGTACGAGGGGAGGCTATTTTGTCCGGCAGCTTTGCGTACGAGGGGAGGCTATTTTGTCCGGCAGCTTTGGTCCGATTTTCACGAAATTCTCACGCAGCCGTCATTATTTTGTAACGGTGAAATATTCAAACGTTTTTTTAGTCGGCTAAAAATTGTGACCTCTAGAGGGACCACAAGCTAAAAACGCGATTTTTCGATCAATGAAGGGCCATAATTCAGGAAGTGACCATTTGATATGCACGATTATCACAAAGAACCAAGATCTTTGGGGTTTAAACATGTATTTCAAGTTTCATCAAAATCGGATCAATATTGTGGCCTCTAGAGGGTCCACAACCTTGATATACCATATATACACTTTGCGTACGAGGGGTGGGCATTTTGTCCGGCAGTTTTACTTCGATTTTCACGAAATTCAAACTCCACCATCATTAGCGTGTAACGGTGATATAGTCAAAAGTTGTTTTAAATCGGATAAAAAAATTGTGACTTCGAGAGGGACCACAGGCTAAAAACGAGATTTTTCATACAAACAAGAACCATAATTCAGAAAGTTATGATCCGATATGCGTGCATATTGACAGAAACCAAGACCTTTTGGGTAATAACTATGTATTTCAAATTTCATCAAAATCGGGTCAAAATTGTGGCCTCTAGAGGGTCGACAACCTGAATATACCATATATTTACACTATTTTTGTACGAGAGGCGGCCATTTTGTTCAGCCATCATTAGGGTGTCACGGTGATATTTTCAAACGGTTTTTAAATCGGATAACAATTGTGACCTCTAGAGGGACCACAATCTAAAAACATGATTTTTCGTAAATCAAGGGCCATAATTCAGGAAGTTAAAATCCGATATGCCCGAATATCGAAAGGAACCAAGATCTTTGAGTTATAAACATCAAAATCATATCAAAATTATGACCTCTAGAGGGTCCACAACCTTGATATAGCATATTTTTTAGACTATTTGCGTACGAGGGACGGCCATTTTGTCCGGCAGTTTTGGTCCGATTTTCACGAAATTCGAACTCAAGCGTCATTACAGTTTGACGGTGATATATTCAAATGTTTTTTTTTTTTAAATCGGATAATTATTGTGACCTCTGGAGGGATCATAAGCTAAAAACGTGATTTTTCATACAATCAAGGGCCATAATTCAGGAAGTTACGATCCGATATGCGCAAATATCGAAAGGAACCAAGATCTTTTGGGTTATAAAAATGCATTTCAGGTTTCATCAAAATCAGATAAAACATGTGACCCCTAGAGGTTCCACAAGCTAAAAAACGTGATTTTTGGTACAATCAGGAGCCATAATCCATGGAGTTATGGTCCGATATCGACAGCAACCGAGATCTTTGGGAGATAGACCTATATTTCAAGTTTCGTCAAAATCGGATAAAAATTGTGACCTGTAGAGTGTCCGCAAACAAATTGTGGACGGACAGGGGCGACGACAATATACGTCCACATGAAAATGTGGGTGTATAAAAAGGCGAAATGAGTTAAAAACAAATCAAAAGACAAAGAAATTATATTTTTATGTATTTGAAATTAAAACACAGTTTTAAAAAAATTCAAGCATAATACAATTATTCTAAAATGTGAAATGGAAAAAGTAATTAAGCGAATGTGCAAAAGCAACAATACCCATGTTATGTAGTCAGCACTGTTTCAATTGACAGTAAAACTAACGCAGGTAATCTATTCTGTTGTATGTATTTAAGCTGACCACCGGGTTGTAGAATCATGGACCTTATAATACATTATAGGTCCATGGTAGAATTAAGGTGGTATTGTATGTGTTCCAGCTGACCGACCAAAAGGATCGTTCCGTTACTTCGCGTAAGATGGGTGTTGGTTCTCATAAGAAATGAACCCAGAAAGTTCTAACAAGGACATGTGATTTACAAAAGTTGTTTTAAACAAATGAGGTTCGAACTATTAAAAGATGGTTGGGGCGGGGGCGTTCATTTGCCCCCAACCCCCTTCAAACTTAGCTTTTAATGGATTCTGTCCGGTTGAGCGGCGTCTCGTCTTATTCACTGTGCAGTTATAAAATCGTACGAAACTATTGCTCGAAAACTAAATGAGAGCTGTATTATCACCATATGTATAGATCTGTGTTCAGACTGTTATAAAATGTTTAATCAGAAATTCTATTCTATTTAGACTTTATTTATAAACGCAAGTTGGGTTTCTTCAAGTAAAACAGCGGCAATGTGTCAAACACAGTCTCCTTTCAAATACAAAATAACGGCACACATTTTCTAGCAACCTAAACTCCTTAATTGAGAAGTAACATATGAGTAAGTAATGATCTATTACGTACACGATAATAAAAGATGTACTGTTGATCCTAGCCTAGATAACCTGATCTAATACGTCACATCCGCTCAAAGTCACGGTTATAAAGTCTTAAGTTAGACTAATCATAATAATTGTCAGAATAGTAGTCTGGTTCATAATAATAATTTCCATCATAGCTGTCATCAGAATTGTATCCACCATAAATGGGAAAAGCACTGGATGCCATCAATGCAAACATTAGTCCATCAATATTATCGGTCCTGTCGTCGTCATCTTTATCGTTTATTGCAAGAGTAAAGTATTTCTCTGGTATCAAGTCTTTCAAGACGACATAATCTTGTAGATATTTTGGTAAACCAACTTGAGATATTTTACTGCTGATTCCTGATCCGATACAATTTCTGATTTCTCTTCTACATCTTGACTTTAAACTTCTGGATTTACAGAAACCACGGAATTCATCAAGTTGTTTATCTTTAGATTCTCCCAGATTATATGTGGAACGCGAAAAACCAGTATTTAAAACTGATAACAAAATAATGGTCTCTATTTCACTCTTCGGTGCACCACTTTCAAAAAGAATTTTAGAAAGCATCAAGACATCGGGAAATTGAAATTTATCTTTGACCTTTGAAAGATCCAAACCTTCGAGAGAACAATTTTCTGTAACAAGATACCATATGAGATCTTCATTGTTTCTTTCCAGTAACCATTGGAATAACGTTTTTCCATCCTCTCCTGGGGTATCAAGAGAGACGTGACATTTATTTATCAAAAGTAATTTTAGACTGTTTATCCATTTCCGACCCCTACCACGACCAACCATTATTGCATGTATTGCTGATCTTCCATGTGTATCAGTTTTATTAACATCAGCTCCAGCTTGTAGTAAACATTCTAAAATAGTACTATTACAGTTTCGTGCTGCAGTCATCAAAGCAGTCCTTCCATTGTTATCACGCTGATTAATATCAGCTCCAGCCTTCATCAAACTTTCGAAAATCGATCGATTGTTTACATTCATAAGTGGTGTTACTCCAATATTGTCACCGTGATTAACATCTGCTCCAGCTTTCAGTAAACTATTTACAATCTTTTCGTTGTTCATTTTGACGGCAACCGCCAATGCTGTATTTCCATTATTATCAACATGGTTTACAGATGCATCAAATGTCAACAAATTTTCACATAGAATTTCTTTTTGTTTTTCAACCGCCACCATCAACGCCGTTTGGCCATTGTTATCACAAATATTATAGTCGGCACTCTTCTGTAATAGAAGTGATAAAATAGTTTCATCCTTGTTGTCAATAGCAAACATCAACGCCGTCTTACCACCCTGGTCTTGTAGGTTGATATTACAGCCAGCTCTGAGCAGTTCTTTTACCATAGCTCTAGGTTTTCTTTCTGCTGCCACCATCAAAGATGTTTTACCATATAAATCTGTGGCATTCAGGGTACTCTCTGCTTCACTTCTCAAATTTGAATATTTAAGTAAATCATCTAAATTCAGTGAAACATTTAAGAGTGCCACAAGGTGTATCGCATTTCTACCAGATCCATCCCTCGGTTTCAGATCGGCACCAGCTTTTAGCAAAATATTTGCCATAACAGTATCATGATTCGTAACTGCTATTATCAATGGGGTTTGATGTCGACTCGTATCGCAGTGGTCTATATCGGCACCAGCTTTCAATAAATCTTCGGTAATAGACCTTTCTCCATTACGTACTGCCATGGTCAAGGCGGTTCGTCCATCGACGTCACTAAGATTCACGTTCATTCCATTCTGTAGTAACAACGTTTGTATTATTTTCTCCTTGTCGTGATAATAAGTATGATGTATCGAACCTTCTATAGCTTTGTGCAACGCTGTTTCTCCTCGTAGATTTTGGTGATTTATATCACAGTCTTTTGTCGTCAGCAATTTCACTAATTCTAATTTGACTTTTTCGGAAGCAAGAGCGAGGGGATTATCCCCATTTCCGCCAACCGTATTGACATTGATGCCGTGTTCAATAAGCATCGAAGCCGATTCATAATCTTCAGCATTTATTGCTGTGCACAACAGCTTATTACATTTATGTATATCAGCCCCAGCATCTATCATTATCTTAACAGTATCTGCTGAACTAGATCGACCTTTCTGATGGTAGTAAAAACGCAAATACTCTAATACAAAACATCCTTTGTTATCCTTAGCATTCACAAATGCACCGTGGTCAATAAGTTGTTTGACTAAAACTTGGTTATCAGTTTGTATGCATTCCATTAAAGGTGTAACACCGTTTTTATCAGGGGTGTTAACATCACACTCAGCTTGAATCAGTATTTCAGAGATCGTTTTCCGTCGTCGTCGTATTGACGTCATTAATACAGATTCGTCGCCTACTTTAATATTGACATCACAACCTGATTTAATTAATGACTTCACCATCTCTTCATTTTCTTTACAAACTGCTAAATACAGCGGAGTTTTATTGGATAAGTTCAGTTTGTTTATATCAACCCCTTTCGTTATTAATAGCTGAACACATTCATCGTACGAATCTGACATATGGCCACTTTCTGCAAGACAATGAAAAAGAGTACCTTGATGGCTTCCAATATTAATTTCTGCTCCTCTTTCTGCCAAATATATTACCGTTGTCACCATACCCCTTTCAGCAGCCAGTTGGATGGGCGTTTTCCCATCAATATCTTCTAGATTAACATCCGCCCCTGACTCCACCAATAATTGTACACAATCAAGAACTCTCTCCGGCTTCCTTTCATCAAAACCATATTCCCACAACCATTCCTTACCACTTATACAATAATGTAGGGCAGAATATTGACGATGTGTTTTCTGTTGATTTATTGTATTTATTAATTCGCTGATCAACAAAATCTTCAAACTTTCAATATTTAGATGTTGGCAACATAACATTAATAACATTTCCTCTTGTTCGGGGTTTTGATCTGGATATTTGAGTTCAAGAAGATATTTTAACACCTCGACGCTATTGTTTAGGACACACTCAGTGAGGGCACTCCAGTTGTATCTTGATGTTGAATGTGCAAAATACAGAGGTGTTCCTTTGGATTGGAGAAATTTAACACCCTCAATGAAATCAGATTTTATTGCCGCCTCTATCAGTTTTATATTGGTATCAACATCTACAAAGTTGTTAGAAATTCTGACTGACGGCAGCAACAATTCCACCATAGGCAGACATCTGTTCTTAAGAGCAGCCTCACAGAGTTCTACCCATATCCAATTTGGCAAACGGTCGTGCCCCCATTCCACATACTCCTGAAGAATTCTTTCTACCTCAACTGTATCATTTGTGTTTACAGCCTCTCTTAACCTGAAATAATAATCAATGTTAAAAATAGGTTGTCATGCAACGAAACACCAACACAAGAGACCGTTCTAAAAAATGAAAGAGGGCGATCAACGTTAGAACTGATGTGCACATTCCTATTAAATTCTCAAAACACAGAATACCAGTCATCAATACGTATGGTTTCACAGACGAATTTTAATATTTGATAAGCACACAGTATTTTAATACTATGCATAGTTTATGTTGTCAATATGTTGTGCAAATCGGGCTTCTAAAAATCTGAAATCTATACACTGAAAAAACACTTGTGTTGGATCTCAACACAAGTACTTGTGTTAAAACTAATCTACACAAGTTATGTGTTGTTTTGCATTGCATTAACACAAACTTGTGTCGATTTAGAAAATCTTGTGTGTTTTTTCATATCATTAACACAAGTAATGTGTACCTTCCACGATTTGTTTTCTTTTTAAAAAAAAAACTCCATACAAAGTCTGAATTCGGGAGTCGTCAAGTTTTAAGAAAAGTAATAAAGGGCTTAATTCACATCTCGAAAATCACATGCTGTTCTTCACTGGAAGGGAGTGAGTACCAATTAATCAGACAATTGCCAGACAGACTTGAATGTTAATTGGTGTTAAGTTGTCTGTATAGTTAAAATGTCTGTCTTTTTTTATTGACCCAATAAACTGATAGATCAAATGAATATATAGTGTACATGTGATTTTCAGCACCCTGGTGTTTTCGAAAATTGATTCAATGTGCAATGAACAAAAAAATGAGTAAAACTCTTAATAATGTAATTGGTTGATGTAGGCCTAATCGAAATTGGACAGTATTGGTTAACTGAAAAGTAACCAATCAAATTTAATTGATCATCCACGTGTATCTCATAATCGACTTATTGATATAATGGTTCTCCAAGTTATCTATACTTTTTGTCTGCGATATCACTTCGGTGGAAGCGGACGTAAAATACAACTAACTAAGAAGAAGTATCTATACTTTAGTCATTGCGACAAATTCTTTCTTTGATATTATATCAGCGACATTCAGTTAGATGTAGTGAAGTTAGCATCAACAGAGTGCTTTAGCCGTGATATTTTTAAAAAAATTATAATGATCACATAGAATACTAGACCGCAGGTTTGTAAATTTTTACAAAAAATAAAACCTTGTATTTAATTTAGCATGTATATATTGCTTCTATGTATATAATAATTCGTTGCGTTTAAAACAGTCAGATTTAGAACCACTGCCACTGACTGCACCGGAAGTCTATTTATATAATGGCGCCACAATGAAAATTGTTTTGATGTGTTCTAAAAGTGTTCCGCTAATTCAGCAATCTAATGAATCTGTCTTAATTTTTCTGAAATCGTGCTTAATTATTATTAGCTAATCGGCGCTAAACCATTGTTCAAATACTTATAATTTCAAGAAACCCCCGACTAGCACCAGCAGGTAAGAATCTGTTTTGATTTTATAGTAATATACCCGGTTGCAATTATTGGCCGCCATCTTTGATTTTTATAGACGTTCGGGCAAAAGGAGAAATGTATATCCAGACATGGACTATAGCTAGATACTAACTTTTGTGTTAGTTGTTTAGTTGAAATGTAATCTTATTTCTGTAAAAGAAAAAAACAACAACAAACAAATCAGCCTCTTTTTTATATCAATGTCATCAATGTGTAGGCCTAATATTAGACTTTCAATGATTCAGAAGTTTCTCTACAGTTTCGTTATTTTTTTTTCCAGTCATTGATGTTAGCATGTACTACACAAAGAAAAACAGGTAACAGAATTTCATTTCCTTTAATATATTTTTTTAATAATGGCCAATAATTGTTATTGTATGTAACATGAAAAGTATTTATCTCTGTAGAGAGAGGGCGAGTAAATGGGGTTTAAAGTTCACTAAATTCATTTGACACAAACTATGCCATTCATTTCCTTGTATTAAATTGGTCGAATCAAGTAGGTCCATGCCATATATATGTCCTAGAATCAAGTAGGACAGGTAGTCTTCTTCCGTTTCCGCCCTTTTCCTGAACACTGTCTCATTCTATTGCCATCTGTGTATGTTGTGTTATATTAATACTGCATAAACCTAGAGATGTTGTTAGTGTTTTTCGGATAGATCATTTATACTTACTGGCGCTAGGTAATTTCGAGGCAAATATTGTTCAATTTTATTTGAATGAATTGCTTGCGCGTACCGTAGGAGTGTATTAGAAACAGTGTTCACGCAGGTTCGAGAACGGCTGAAGAACATGAAAACACTTTCATGAGTCTCGAACATGAGAGAACGGTATCCATGGTAACAAGATGAATTAAATTTATACAATCTGTTACGATAACTTGTTTGGTATTGACTTCGCTATTACTGTGTGAACCATCGTAAATTTTAAACGGATTTCTTCGATTATGAACAAACTACTTAACTTTGGTTATTATAAACTTACCTGTGTGTTTGTAATGAACCCCCATTCGATAAAATCCATTGCACAACTAATTATCACAATGAGGAGAACAAGTTCTCTCTTGAAAAATTTGAAAATTTACTTGTAATTTCGACAGAGTCGATGTCAACAATGTCTTCGTGACGTATTGGTCGAAATACCTGTTGCAGGGGTTGGTTAACATTGAAAGATAGTTTGACAGCGCGATCATTTTGATCGTATATGGGTTTGGGCGACGAAAAATATCAATTGAAGGCAATTACATAGGAGATTTATATGGAAACCATTGATCGCCAGTCTATCAAATTTTCTTTACAATTAAAATATCACTGATTGCACGGATACTCGTAAAAATAAAGTCATGTATAAACTATAAATATCCTATCTTCTTTATGTTATAAATAATTTAACAAGGATCATGAAGCTTACCTCCGAATTCTCTGAGTGTATTTTTAATTTTATACGCATTCTTTCGATCGAATAATAACCGCTTCAGTAACATATATAATGGTATATAATGCTACTAAGCCCGTATGACCCCGTAAGAAGCGGAACATTCATTCTCGATTCGACAGTTTTGACCGAAGTGTGATAAAGCCCGTAAAACGAATGTATAGTTGTGTTTGTGCGGCATGCGTGTTCAAAAGTAAATAATCCCAACCGAGTCGCTAATCAAATAATTAGAACAAAATATTTCAAAAAGTAAAGCTATAAAATTTGCAGAGATTTTACTAGAATGTAAAAGACGGTAACTAAATACAGGAATGCGGGTAGTTATGTGTGCGAACGCTCAAACTCAATGGCAATTGTCGTAGGTATCCAGACCACTCAGACCAAAGACTACTCGGACTAAGACCAGTCGGACCAAAACAAGACCAGTCGGACCAATTAAATTATATTATAAGGCTAGACAATATGCTATTTATTTATTATTAAATCACAATACAAAGAAGCAAATTATTCTTATACGGAATTCTTATATTTAGAGTTGTTTAGTTCAATTTTGTGTACGGAAAATAAATCAACGATTAGTTTTAAAATAAATTAATAATGGTGCCAAAAAAAATATCAATCTAATTTTTCTTATTTACTCTTGCAATGAGACTCGGTATGTCCAGACTTTTGACAGTTTCTACATATACATGTATACTGTTCTTGTCTGATAGCCTAATTTTACTTTTTCCACATTCGCGGTATCACCAGTGGTTTCATTCCGTTCTACCCCACTAACCCCTGGGTTACTATATACATGTATGTGGGGGGGGGGGGAGACACGTTTTCAAGTTATCCGCCTTTGATGCGTTAATATAAACAGCACATAATAATACGAAGACCGGACGTTTATATGCCCCTTTTTAAACGTGACTACAAGTGTGGTTCTCGATATTTTGCGATTTGGAATACAATTAGCAATTTATTCAAATAACACTTTATTATTGGTTCGAGTAGTCATATTAAAATAAACACAATTATCAATTTTTTAAAATAACACTTTATTATTGGTTCGAGTAATCATATTAAAACAAACGCAATTATCAATTTATTAAAACAACACTTTATTATTGGTCCGAGTCGTCTTTCTGTTGGGTCCGAATAGTCTTTTTGTGTGGTCCGAGTAGTCTATTTGTTTGGGCTGAGTGGTCTATCAGTTGGTCCGACTGGTCTTGAACCGAGTGGTCATGGATTCTTGTCGTAATTGTACTTGAATTTCCTATGCTGTCACCCCTAATACGAAATGATATCTTCCACAGAGTGACGTAACCATCTTCCGCAGAGTGACGTAACCATCTTCCATATTGGTATTTTTCTCTGGGAAAAGTTTGTGATATTTCAATTTTTCAAGAGAGAACTTGTTTTCATCGTTGTGATAATTAGTTGTGCAATGGATTTTATCGAACGGGAGTTCATTACAAACACACAGGTAAGTTTATAATAACCAAAGTTAAGTAGTTTGTTCATAATCGAAGAAATCCGTTTAAAATTTACCAAGACTGAGACAGTAAGCATAATTTTGATAAATTATGACTCCATTTTACTCCTTTTCAATTCTTTGGATGACGTTTACATCACCTTTTGATACGCCCACATGGAAATGTGGTCGCATATTGTCATCGCCCTCGTCCGTAGGTTTGTCCGTCGTCTACAGACCTGATTATTTTGAAATTGATATGTTGTTTATTTTAATGAGATGAATCCTATTTAATTTCAATAATTTCCGTTTCTTCTGGAGTTATGGCCCTTGTTTCACTTTGTGAAATTCATTTGCATCTTTTAAATTAGTGAAACGAAGACGTCTATTAAATTTATGCGATTTCCGTGAATTATGTCTAGAGTTGTGGCCCTTGTTTCACTTTTTCGAAACTTGTGAACGCGCGAACAACAAAATTATCATCCGATTTGTATGAAATTTGTATGCATTATTTAAATTAGTAAAACACAAAACAAAAAAATCTGTCAAATTTCAACAATTAAGGCCCTTGTTTCAGTTTGTAGAACCTTTGTAAACCCACAAACATCGAAAATTATAATCTTGTATGAAATTTTCTTGTAAATGCCCACATTACCTACTAAAGAATGAATACGCGACAATCCCTGTTGACTGCGCAAACGATTAAACTGCTATGGGCATATGTTTCGTTGCCTGGCAACCTAACTTACTTGATGTTATACTGGCCACATACTACATCCAATTTTCGAACGGTATTAAACTTTTAAATTAACAAGCCAACAGTGAGGCTGATGTCCCCCGCCGAAATAGGAAAATAATTAGAGGACACATATAAATTTATCACAAATTATCTTTTACAAAGTATTGAACAATCAAACAGTATATCTTTACTTATAGTCTAACAATCAAAGTAGGAGAGTTATTGTTTACCAAAGTCTCGACCAATCAAATTGCGTATCGCTCTGCTTACCCTGAGCAGAAAATGCTCATTATCAAACTTAGTCAAGGTATTACTGTAATGAAACTATACACCAAGTTTCATCAATCTCACTTAATTAGAACTAAAATTATCGTGTCCCAAAGCATCAACCAATCAAATTGCTTATCTCTGCTTACCCTAAGCGGAAAATGCTCATCTTCGAACTCCATCAAGGCATTGACCTAATCAACACATACACCAAGTTTGAACATTCTAGCTCAATTAGGAAGAGAGTTATCGTGCCCCAAAGTATCAACCAATCAAATTGCTTATCTCTGCTTACCCTAAGCGGAAAATGCTCATCTTCGAACTCCATCAAGGCATTGACCTAATAAACACATACACCAAGTTTGAACATTCTAGCTCAATTAAAAGTTATCGTGTCCCAAAGCATCAACCAATCAAATTGCTTATCTCTGCTTACCCTAAGCGGAAAATGCTCATCTTCGAACTCCATCAAGGCATTGACCTAATCAACACATACACCAAGTTTGAACATTCTAGCCCAATTAGGAAGAGAGTTATCGTGTCCCAAAGCATCAACCAATCAAATTGCTTATCTCTGCTTACCCTAAGCGGAAAATGCTCATCTTCGAACTCCATCAAGGCATTGACCTAATAAACACATACACCAAGTTTGAACATTCTAGCTCAATTAGGAAGAGAGTTATTGTGTCCCAAAAAGTGTGACGGACAGACAGACGGACGAACCCATTTTAATAGTCCCCTGCTTTCTTCGAAAGGCGGGGGACAATAAATGCACCCATGATGCTGTTTTCTCAGCAGTTATCGATGCGTCGACCATGTTTGTTCTCCCTCACACCAGCTATGAGGTAGTGTGGGATTTGAGAACGGGAACGTGTTCGTGAACGCATTCCAGACTGCTTAAGTCCGACAAGAACCCATTCTCCGTCCGTTCTCTGCACCGGAACACTGTTTCGAATACACCCTAGGGGTATTTAGCAAAGGGAGGAAACCGGAGGACCCGGAGAAAACCCACAAGGCTGGACAGGCGACCCTATTCCTAGTCACATTCAAGTGGGGAATCACATAATAATGGCCTATTTCAAATAAGATATTTGCATATAAAGAAAGTAGGCCTACAGCCTCTTTTCAAATGTGATATTTGCATATAAAGAAAGTACAAACTTAAATCGTCAGTGCTGGATAAACTAGCCAAAGGATTCGGCTGAATCAATTGGCGCTAAACTTCACCTAGTTTATCCTCTGACATACGCCTGAATCAAACATGTTTGATATATTTGGCCGAATTGTATTTGAGTGGTGTGTCCGTTTTGCCGAAGCATTCATCTGATTTTAGAATTCATTAGCCAATCACCACTCATTCATATCGAGTGGGTATCACAAACTAGCAGTCGAACTGTGACACGGGTGCTACAGCCAACAAATTCCAACTACCATACTATCGGCTTAAATGCACGCCAATGGGACCTCAGGTTTTTTTAGATATCACACAGTTTGTATATGGTAAGGTATCTTAAACAGTTTATTACATGTCACATATTCATATTTTTCAGTTTCAATATTAGATGCCATAGCAAATCAAAGATCATATAATAGAATAAGTCAAAAAACCCAAATATGGAAAAAGAAAGAGCTGAAGAAATGGTGATTTGAGCACCTATGCTTTCTCATAGGTGTATTTGGAGGGTGAGTGTTCAATTCTAATAGAAAAGATTGTTGTTATGGTATTTTAGAATCTCACCATAATGTGTTTGGCACAATATAGCCCGGTTGGAGCTGATGTGACATAAACCTCCATTTCATTTTATTGTTTTGAAATTTAAAATTCAGTTTAGTATAGTAAATTTGTACACGTACATGTATGTGCACAAACAGAATCTTACTTATGTCCAGATACATGTAGATATGACTGTCTCATCTGTGGTGGACCACGGTGGCCAAGTGGGTTAGACACTGGCTCGCATATTTTAAGGTCGCAGGTTTTCAGTAAGACAATGCAGTACAGAGGACTGGGCCAATGAAGTTGGGCATATGCCATACAGTGTGCTACGAGAGAAATTTTGCCTGGTACCGTGACCTTAAGGCCTTCTCTTGTATCAAATTCAAACTGCCAGGGGATCTTTTACATGCACGCCAATGTGTACACGGGACCACGTTTTTTTGTTCAATCTGAATGACTAGACAGCTGTCCTTGTCAGGCCCTCCGTCCTGCATCACTAACAAGAGGAAACCACGCCGGAAAATCTGGGTGAACTTTCTCGGCCAATGCAGGGATCGAACAACCGACCTCCAGGCTAGCGAGCCAGCGTCTTACCCACTTAGCCACCATGACGATTAGACAGAGAATCCATGCTGAAAAATCCAAATAAGCTTTCTCGGTCAACACTGGGAGCGAACCCGCAACCTCCCGGGTAGCAAGCCAGTGCCTTACACACTAAGCCACATGGCTCTCTTCTAATTACTGTGACAGTCCAGTCACATGACAAACAAGGGTTATTAAAACAGATTTTCACGGCTTGGGTAAGATATTCGGGATTCAAATGGTTTTAGATATCACACAGTTTGTATATGGTAAGGTATCTTAAACAGTTAATTACATGTCACATATTCCAATTTTTCAGTTTCCATATTAGATGCCATAGCAAATCAAAGATCATATAATAAAATAAGTCAAAAAACCCAAATATGGGAAAAGAAAGAGCTGAAGAAATGGTGATTTGAGCACCTATGATTTCTCATAGGTGTTTTTTGAGGGTGAGTATTCAATTCTAATAGAAAAGATTGTTGTTGTGGTATTTTGGAATCTCACCATAATGTGTTTGGCACAATATAGCCCGGTTGGAGCTGATGTGACATAAACCTCGATTTCATTTTAATATTTTGAAAATTAAAATTCAGTTTAGTATAGTAAAACCGTGAACGTACATGTATGTGCACAGACAGAATCTTACTTATGTCCAGATACATGTAGATATGACCATCTCATCTGTGTGGACCCACGGTGACCAAGTGGGTTAGACACTGGTTCGCATATTTTAAGGTCGCGGGTTTGCAGTAAGACAATGCAGAACGGAGGGCCTTACAAGGACAGCTGTCTAGTCGTTCAGATTGAACAAAAAAAGGTGGTCCCGTGTACACATTCGCGTGCACGTAAAAGAGCCCCTGGCCGTTAGAATTTGATACAAGAGTAGGCCTTAGGGTCACGGTACCCGGCAAAATTTCTCTCATAGCACACTGTATGGCATATGCCCAACCTCATTAGCCCAGTCGGAGCTGAACAGTAGGACGCCGAACCCCATTTCATTTTTTTCATTTTGTCTCATCTGTGACAAAGCAAACCAACACATTACCATACAATGTAATTAAATTAAAACTTTCATCTTTTAACTGTCGAGTCGATTTAAGTCAACTAATACATAGTATGTTTTTTTTCTCAGTTAACTACATCAGAAAGATCAAGACAGTTGGAAATGGCTATTCATATTATGGAAACTTTTTCTCACAGAGCTTGATAATCAGGTAAAATGTAAGTACCATACATATTTGTATTTTTTATCATCAACTAGTTCTCTACACTTGCTTGGTAATCTAGTTATTCTTCTTGGGGCAATGCCTAGGACTCTCCTATTCAAGTCGTGGCATTCTTGATTTTTGACAATCACATCCATTGATTTTCTTCAAGTTGTGATAGACCCTATGTGTATTTTTACAGTAAATAGCAGTATAAAAATGATGGACAATATTTTACTTTTCAAATACATTTTAATAGGTAATATCCAATTTGTTGTCGATGGAAATAAAATATAATAATCTGCCTGGGTCTGTTACTGGACAAGACACAATAAGTGTTACCCAAAGATGAAACAAAATAGAGACTCAGTCTTGATGTGGCAAAATAAATTGTTTATTTAAACATTGTGAACCATAAATAGTAAGAAAGTATTCTTATTGCCTACTTTTTATTTTTTAGGCTGGAAGATTATTTGATGTATGATAACAACAAGAGATCCCAAGCACCAATATATTTTATAATTCTGGAAAAGAATGCATTTGACCCAATTTTTGAATATTTATTTTTTGTTTTTACTGTTAAATATTCTTCCCAAACACAATTAGATTTTAATTCTCTACAGAAATTTATGTATAATATAGAATGTAAAGTGACATATTAATCACTTAGAATTTGGTCGGAAATTATAAAGTATTTAATAGGCATAATCTAGAAACCAAATGTAGATCAAATATACCCAGAATTACAAAAAACCTTGACCTACATTAAGGTGACTTTCCCTTGCTTATGAAATGAAATAGGGTTTAAGATCCTACTTTTCTGTGTTATTATGGTGATTCTGCCCTACAACCTACTCTTATATCAAATATTTCAACTGTCAAGGGTTGTTTAAAGGGAACCCAGGAGGGCCGAATGGTTAACAAACGCACATTGGATCAGAAGGTCTGTCATTGAGTCAGATAATTCAATTGTCAAGGGTTCTTTAAAGTAAACGCAGTGGGGGTAGTTTCAATTCCGGGCTTATACCCAATTATCCCTTGCCATGTCCTACACTACTAACGTGTGGGAACTATGTCAGAAAATCCAGTTGAAATTTCTCGGCCAATGCCTTATACTCACTGAACCACAGTGACTCCTCCTTGCTTTTGACTAGTGATTATTTATATATATTTTGTACATATTATTTAATGTTTGCGATTTTTTCTGATATTTTTTTATTTTTCAATCCTGTAATCTTGATGCTTTGCTCCTTTTATGTACAAAATATTCATTTTGTTTGTTGTTTTTTTTAATGAGGAAAAGGTTCTACATCATTTTATTACTCCTGCAAAATAGTTCATTTTTCTTTTGTTAGTTTTCTGTGTATGCTAGTTATTTCCAGATGCCTCACAAATCACTTGTAATATGACTTTGTAGCACTTTTCAGTTTCTGAAAGTATTTCAATTTAGTGCATAATTAATCTAATGAGGTCTTGGTTTGGATGTTATTAAATTTAGATATATTTGAATTATATATTTTTGGGGTATGGGGTAGGGATCTTTCTTTTCTCAGTTCTTGTTTTCGGGTTAAGAAAAAATTAAATAGCTATTTTGTATTTTGTGATGTGGTGTGGGGAGGGGAGGGGGGGGGGGGGCAAAGTATAACAAAAACTTTATTAGTATTAGAATTATATCTCTGTTTTTTCTGTTAACATTTCAAATGATGTCTATTTAGTTTTGATTTGGTGGTGTTAATTTATTTTTCCTATCATTTTATAAATAAATAAATAATTTAACAAATAAAATTATTACCTCATTTATCAAACTTTACAGGTTAAACAGAGCAAAAGGGGTGGGGGCTGCATGGGAAAGATTGCTAAATTGAGGGAAAATGAAACACAAGTTTTTGTTGGTGGTTATACACAAGTTTTTATGAAACCACACAAGTTTCAGAAATTTCAACACAAGTTTCAGAAATTTCAACACAAGTTTCAACACAAGTATTGTGTAGAATTTCACACAAGTTTCAACACAGGTTTGTGTTGTTTGGTAAATTTTAACACAAGTCTTGTGTTGTTTCAACACAAGTTTGTGTTGTTAAATAGAGACACCTAACTTGTGTTGAAAACAACACAAGTTTGTGTTGTTTCAACACAAGTTTTTTTTCAGTGTATATATATCGGATTTGAATAACTAAGATTGGAATAAGAGTTAAAAAAATTAATGGTGAAATACGGGGTCGACTCCACAAAATAATAAACCGAATCTTAGTCGAGGGAAGTCTGACATTAAATAGCATATCATGACCGTATGATCATACATGGTACCAATTATATATATATATCACGTGATAGGATAATCTTATGCTAATGATAATTCGACCCAGCTCACAAAATATTCAGACGCTGTCACCCACGAATGAATGTTAAGAGGTTTGTTAGGTTGAAATCTAGGGCGGAAATTTCATGTTTACGGGTCTCTACTTCCAGTTTGTGTATCTCAAGTTTTCCATGAATAACCTCATACATGTACGTGCTTTTCAGCAAGACGTTGCCACATGCTCCATCTGTGGTAGAAAGTGTTCTATCCAACGAAAATTAAGGACAAAGTTAGGGCCGGTCTAAGAGACGAAGACTAACATTAAAGTCAATGTGGAAATCAATGGTGATCTATGGCCAAATAGAATGTACCGCCATAGCAATTTTGCGATCATAGATTATATTCGTGTTACAAGCCAATCACTTGACCACAAAACGGCTCTGTTTCAGAGATATTAGCATTATTATTTAATGTGTATGTTGTGTTAATAGCATTATTATTTAATGTGTTGTGTCATTTTATGTATGGCCGAGGCTTAGAGCAGTTCACATGTTTACATTATATGTATACAGAATAATCGAATGGTACAATCGGTATGTGTATAATAGAATATTCTTAGTGATACAATTGGTACATGTATAACATTATTGACCAACTTACTGTTCTTTGTATCTCTGTGATTTACGCAAAGAATCTTCTGGTTCACACCCACTCATTGTGACAAGTTAAACTGGGGACAGTGCAAATACCATGTTGAATTGGTTACAGCAAATCTTGTTTAGACATACCAGTAGTCTCGTATAACCAGCAACAGTAACCTTGAAGGATTTCATATGTCTGTTTGATCAGGGCAAAATTCTATTCATAGCCATACTATGTAATTCAATTTCTAGGAAACAATATTCTTAGAAAGTAAAGTGAAAATGAAAGTACAATATTGACTGGAGTAAGACCACTAAATATTCACCCTACATTCATCAACATTAATTTTATATGACATAGATGGACCCTGGTCATTTTATATCACCATTAGCTGATTTTTGTTTTTGTTTATATATCAAGCTAAATACATCTATGGAGTGTTTATAAAACTTTGACCCCTACCCCCATACACACACACACAGAGCCGCCCACACAGACGCACACACACACAAACATTAAACTAAAATTAACATCAGTTCAAAATGGAAAACATATGCAATAATAAAAAAAAAGTATTTTTATAATGCGCTATGCTCCATCCATAACATGCATGTTCAAGGCGCAACACAAATGAGTCGCATACACATGAAAATTACTACTCTAGATAATATATTTTGGGTATGGGGGGGGGATGACTTGGGTAGGCGAAAACAACCCGGTACCACGTGGGAGTATAGAATTCCAAATAATCTCTGACCTGTTTTAAAAAACAATATAATTTCAAACCCTTTACTACTATTTCCACTAATTTTATGGATATTTGTCAAAAATATAAACTCTATAGAGTGCGAAAAAGTAGGATAATCCATTACTTTTATCAGCAAGGGGGAATAACTCTGAAAATAACTCGGCACAGACTTTACTACACGGCCACTGATCACCAATGATTTCCCCATTGACTTTAATATTAGTTTTCTTCTCTAAGTTTCCCAATTTTTCATTGGTTAGAACGCGTTCTACCACAGATGGAGCAACATATGACAACCTCTTATCCAAAAGCACGTATGAGGTCAGTAAACATGTAAATTTCCGCCCTACATTTCAGCCGTATTTTTCAACCTAACCATCTTGTGTCCGGTTTTGGTAAATATTCATGATTTAGAGGGGAACGGAGGACAGGGTTAACAGGTTGGTTACGGTGATATGTACGGCGAATAGTTACATGTTTTAGTATGCTACTTCACGTTTGTGTATCTCAAATTTTGGTGGTCAACCTCATTTAAATTTTGGTGCAAAGACATGACCATTTGTTTCTCTGTCTGTATTGAAAAGCATTCAGCTCAACGAAAATTTGGGGAAAGTTGGAGCCTGGCAAAGAGAACAGAATAACATTGAAGTCAAAGGGGAAATTAATGGCAGTCTGCCTTCGAATAACAAAAACGGGGTCACCTCCCCTTAATTGTTTGACGAGTAAATAATTATTGAATTATCCAATAACACATTTAATAATTTGGGTGTTAATTTTATCAGACCACATCGGAGCAAGGTTCGGACAAGTATAACAATTCGTAACAAGACAAGGAATGGTAGGACAGCAAGTGAAGGGTTTGGTCATGAGAAGTGAAAGGCGTATCCCAAACTAATTATTTGATTCTCAAAAAAGTCGAGTGGAGTATAGGGCTTTCTCTTCCACACGCGACGGGTGGTGGTCGAATGGTGCATAGTGCGGGCGGGAGGTAGGGTGGGTGGGCTGGGGTCGAGTAGGGGTATAGGCTTTCTCTCACCCATGCGACGGGAGGGTGGTCTAGTGATGTATAAGGATTTGGAGCATGCTTATCCAGTGTAGAATAAAAGAAATAGAACGATTTATATAACAACCATAACACCGAAATCATTTTGAAAAATCATGTTCCTTGATTTTATGGAAGGCCTTTTCCCGGAAATTTGACCAGTCTGTAACATCAAACGACAATGTGGAACGAAGATTATGGGCGATATTATCAAGACGAAAATTTGCACCATCTTATAATATGTGTTATCTACATATTATTTTAATGTGGCTCACTATAATCCTGATGTTCTCCGAAATATTCCTATGGGATTTTCGAGTGTGGTTTCCATTGTCGTTGATGCAAGACGGGGTGGGTGGGGGTGTGGCTGAAAAAGAAAAAACATCTAGTTGTTCGGATGGGAGTAAAACCCGAGGTCTCGCGTACAGGTACCAGCCTTCATTCGTCTCTTTCATTTCCCCGGTTGTCACAAAAAAGTATGACGCCAAACCACAATTCGTTCATTCATTTAAGGACACGTGATTAATATTTAATTTTAATATTGATAAACTGTAGCCTACATTACTGTGACATTGTAATATAATTATGAGGGGGTTTTGTTGGGTAGATTTTCTATAGTAGGCCTATAGAGATATTTCTATGACATTCCTTTTATCGTAAATAACTGAATCAATCCCTTAAAATTTACAACTAGCTTGGTTCAAGCAGGTTTTATCGGCTTCTTGGTTTACATTCAATTGCGTCAGCTAACAGCAGTTACGTGACTGCTAATAATAGCGTTGTCACGCGGGGTGTATTATCACCAACCAATCCGATCGCTGTATTTCTGCTGGGTAGACATGTTTTATACATAGCAACATGACGTCACTGTGGATATAAAAGAGGTCGACATCTCGTGATCAGTGGAACAACACTCTGTGAGAACGAGAGCAAAACAACCCATTACCGGACGGTTACCCGGTGTACACCGTGGACAAAATGGCCGACTGGAAATGGGTGTTGTCGTCTATTCCGAAAGAACTTCCTTCGGATTTACAAAGCTTACTTCGTTTCTTTCTGGGGCTTTCTAACTCTGGAAAACTTCACGGAACAGTCTGACTGGTCCCGGTCTGAGGTAATACGTCTGTAGCGCCCCCGCCATCGCTGATTTCAGTGCTATGGGGGTAGACGTGTTAACCAAGGACCTCACTTGGATTGACTAAGACTAGAACAGTTATATATTTTATACAGGTGTTCAGCTTTGTTAATTAACGTGAGGTCTCTGGCTTTAATCTACAATAATCTACTTATGAAGGTGAGTTTTTATTTAGTTAAAAGTTGAAATCAGTTGTGTTTATATGAGAACAACCTTGTATCACCTGATCAGATCGATAAACAGACCTATTAGATCGATAAATACTACCAGTAGGTAAACGAAGTGTTTCAGTCGAATATAACGGTAAATTTAGGCGATGAATTAGGGATAATATATTTAAGAATGTTGGCTAATTATAGCCTACTGCGTGTGATATGCGTCAGTGGGCATACACGAGCCGTGTACAGGTGGTATATTATAGGTTTATATAGATATTGTACAGTAACTATACATAAGAGTATAGCTAGCCGTGTAATATATAGGTAACATACAGAGATTAGCGGTATATCTATAGGTCGATATTGTGTCCTGTTAAAATGGCGAAGGGGGTGGGGTGTAGGATATGTAATAGGCTCTGATACACCACGATAAAAAAAAACAATAAAGGAGCCCGATTGGTTAAACACAGGGATTGGCATAAGTGGGTTGTTGTTTTCTTGTGAGAATATATAAGATAAGTAGATGCATAATATGAACAGAGCTAGATCTCAATAGTATAAGTTGAACAGAGTAAGATGTCAATAGATGTATAAGTTGAACAGAGTTAGATGTCAATAGTATGTATAAGTTGAACAGATGTTAACATAAATATAAAAGTTGAACAGAGTTAGATGTCAATAGTATATTGTAGTTGAACAGAGTTAGATGTCAATAGTATATATATATATATATTATATAGTTGAACAGATGTCAATAAGGTAAGTATACATATATAAGTTGAACAGAGTTAGATGTCAGATTTTTAATTGAGAAGGTAAGAAACGGAGTAAGCTTGAAATCTGGATGGTAAATTCTATATCGGTGTACAGGACAACATCCATGTCTAGTTACCAACCCCGGCGAGATATTTTTCTTCGACACAGATGTTTCCGTTCCTGTAGTTGTTTCCGATATACTAATGTATTCAAAAGACGACGTCGATGTTTTATTTGTATATATTTTAGATATGAATTTCTTTTAAAACAAAACATATTTAAAATAAAATTAATCTCTGAGCTGTTCCTCCTGTACTGTGTGGTAGTACAAATAATGTTATACCGGTCTGCAGAAGATATTGTGTTCATACCCTCTCCCTTATCTGACACGTTATACCTTCTATATATGCTGGGTAGCAGTGGTAGACGAATTCTCGGGACACTGGATGGTTGGTTAGCATGCATGAATGTCCCGTGTTGTATCTGTTATTCCCAGTCTTGTCAGATGTGGCGCTGTCTGACTGACGGAGGGAAAAGGATACGGTTGGGAAAAAATCGAGACAAACCATTGTCTTTTACACATGGCGTTTAGGTAAAGGACAATCTGACAGCTGCAATTCAATGACAAGTAGACAGACACGCCACTGTCCGTGCAAAATTTCCTTCCCTTGACTTGGAATCGCAGTTTGCCGCACCTAATGATTTATTTCAAACGAACCATTCAATGCAATACCCCGGAATATACCGTAATATTCCGGAATGTACCGTAATATGGCGGATAATATCGATTGTCCTATGAAATTATGAATATCAAATTCTAAAGTAGCGCAGACAGAAATTGTGAAAAGAAGAAAAATGAGTATTTGGCACGACACTCGTTACAGCAGGGTGTGGGAGTATGGGCACGGGGGTGGAGAGGTGCACCCAATTAAAATGTTCCAAACCTTTTCAGTCGGGGCAGCATTTATAGGAATATGTCTTTGAGTTGCAAATCTTGTCAACCACTTCAATTTCTTAAGTATGTACAGCCGCTTCGCATACGAGTAGAAAAATCTTCCATTTTATTTACGAAGTGATACCAAAGTCCATTCTTGTACGCCCCAAGACTTAAGTATCCATGCATACATACGGCCTAATATTCAATTATACGACCTAGGAATCAAATATAGGTCTTATTAATCTTAAAGAAAGTCAACTTTAAGCGAATTACACAAAGCTCATGGGTTTATGTTCTCTTGATAAGACTGTAATTGGTTCTCTACTTAGGTCTGCATTATTAAAACACAGATACATATTCACTCCGGGGGGGGGGGGGGCGAATGGTAGCGCGTGCGCACTGTAACATAAGGTCTGTC